GTCCTTGCCAATCTAACTTCCCCAAGGCTCTCACCTCCCCCCTCGGCATAATAAAAACATCTTCCTTTTCAGGGCTCCCCACCAACTCGGTGGGGCCCAACTATAATGCTCCCCACTGGTCGACTTACAACCAAGAGGGGACACGTCCAACCTGGTACCTCCTCCAGGTTCACCATAAGAGACAGGGGGAGGATGAGACCCGGCCATTATCCCCCTTTTTCATCTAATCTACCAAACCATCCCTTATTTGGCAAGGACACACCCCCACCTCGCTGTGACAACCCCCGGGCCCAAAGCAGCAAAGGGAGGGTGGGTGGGAAACTTGTTGCTGGCCCGGCACTGAGGTCAGTCTATTCTGTCACCACCCACTTCCTCACATCTCACACTCCCACATGTAGCATATAGCCAATCATGCACCATCCATCCCACACTCGTACATGTGCCCCTGTCCGCTAAGCTGCGCACTCTCCCTGGGGCCTAAACGCACTCTAGGGCAACCAAAACCATGACAGGGCACCTACTACCAGGAAGATATATATTTGGTGGACCAAAACACTATCGCAAAGCATCATACTTTAATAAACTTTTATTAAAAATATTATGTGCCAGGTAACACTGTGACCTCTGTGAAGTGTGGAGCATGTCGAACAGTCTGATCTGGAAAGCATTCCCCTGGAGAGGAGAAGAGGAATGGATCCCTGGACTCCGAAGTTGCCGTGTGGCTCTCCCCTAAGTTTGCGAATGCCACACGGCGGCAGCCGAAGATATGACAAGTGGCCATGTCAAGCTAGCATGTTTAACCCCTTAAGGACACATGACGTGTCAATATTAGTTTGTTTTTAAACATTTTGTTTGAATTAAATAATGGAAAGGCTCTGGAAAGTGTGAGTGACCCATTGCCTCTACTATTAATCATTGTATGTGATTACAGTATTACAGTATTATGCTATGTTAGCTTTAGTATCTTGTTACACGGCGATAAAGAGGTGTTACACTCATTGAGATTAAGTATTAATCACTGTGTACTGGAGATAATTTATGCACCCCCCATTTCTACTTCGATACACGTGTTTTTAGTGTCTTGTGAGTGATTTTAGGCACTGGGGGTAGCTGCATTAACGTTTTATCAAGCGCCAACCCACTCATATTCCATCCTATTTTGGGATTGAATATTTTGTATCTTTTATTGTTTTATATAGTAGTCATGTGGCTTGGAGATTCCCTTTAAGTCTAGGATGTTAAAGGTCGGAAAGTAAGAATGGATCCAGTGTCAGTCGGAGGTAGACAAGAGGTAGTTGTTATACTGTAAGAAACTTACTGTTAATGACATCTGTAGCAATTGATCAATCAGACTCAGTCCAGTGGTTGCCGATGTAGTACCTGCCATGAACAGATAATTATTAGATAATAACAGAGGCACCAGAACAATGAAACTAGCGGACAAATAAAAAAATATTAATAGAAACCACTAATGGGTCTTAATAAAAAATCTGGACATTCAGTACGGACCCACAACCCAACACAGAGGCTTTACAGCCTTTAGGAAACCGTCTGAAAAAACTGTCCGTTTTTATTAGGTCAGCTCCACGACAACAAAAAATCTTATAATATACTACACTATATTTACTAACCGGGCACTGTTACTTAGACAAACTACACAATTAGGAATGTTTGTACATTGCCCTATTCTGTGCAATGCCAGCCTGGCAATTTAGAGTAATCTGACTGGGCATGTAATTCAGAGTAAATATAAAACCTTTTCATGCACGTCTGAATATTATAAATATATATATAATATATTTTGTAGTAAAACAGTAAGTGTCACGGGGGTGGGGCTTAACCAAGGAACGGAGCAGCCGCCGTTTTCCACAGGTCCAGTGGCAATCAGCTAAAATCCCCTGGATATTACGGGCATCAGTGTCCGCATGGAAGCAGAGACCTTAAAACTCACCACTGAGCGTCACCCAGACCCGGGACATGCCGTTCTTTCTACAATCTGGGCTGAAACGGCGAAAGAAACAGCTTGCAGTCTACCATCTCCCACCAAGCCTGGGCCTTGAGGAGTGGTGGAGCGCACCCCAGACCCCGGATAAGAGGGGAGTCACTACTACAGCCACAACGCCGGACACACTACCTGACATGGGAAGGCGATCCCAGAAACCGCCACCAGGTACACCATGCGACTCCCGAGATATAGGGTCCATGCTCCAGAGACAGGCCATAGCCAAGATGGCGGCCCTGGATGTCCACATGGCCGTAATTGCACCCCAGACCCTCATACAAGAGGTAGCTCAACCTCAGCCTCAGCAACAGATCTCCGAGCAAACAGCTCAAAAACTACCCAGACTTCTCACTCCTGGCAACTAAACAGGACATTAAGACCCTCCTTGCCGATTTTCACCAGACATTAGCAGCAGATATTACAGTGATCCAGAATGACTTAAAGATGGTAACTGGTAGGGTCCGTGCCACAGAAGAAGATGTTATAGAAGTGAAACAGGCAGTGTCTACTCTAAAAGACTCAATTCAGGAAGCGCAGAAAGCTCAACACACTTTCACCACACAAATTACCATGCTGGATGATCGCTCCAGGCGTCATCATTTTAAAATCAGAGGGTCACCTGAAGCTGTCACATTGAAGGAACTGCCAAACTACCTGAGGCATCTGGTGGCCTTGCTGTTACCACCGCCGCAAGCCAAAAAGTCATGTTCGACGGAGTGTTACGCCTTGCGAAGTCAGATAGGGCACCAGCTTGGCCGTAAGGGACATTCTAATCCACTGCACCCTGGCACAAGATAAAAAAGCGCTTCTAGCAGCCTGCCTCCAATCTCCCCACCCCCACCCACCCGAAATCCAACCCTTGGTTAGGGATAACTTAAGCAAAGGCCTGACAATCCTTCCTATTTGATGCACGTACCACAGCCATATGACCTGGTACATGCTCCTCTAGATGCCTATATAGGTCCACAGCACAACAGTAGGTGCAAAATCAAACCACCCCACGAGCAGTAATTAGGTCTCTGTATAAGCTTAACAGGGTTACCATTTTAAGCCAGGGCTTACGCGGCCCTAGTAACACCCAAATGCTTAAGCACTGCCCAATGACCCCCGCAGCAACGGCTGTAGGGAATAAGGACTTATATAATCCTCACACAATAAGCAGGCAGCAGTAATCGTAGTCGGCCATCGGGGCCAACTTCAACGTTCACACTAGAATATAATCGGTTATACATTCTAATTTACTTATCCCTTAACATAAAAGAGGCTACCACAATTAGAAGAGGGAGTTAACTTGTGTACACATTGCATACTGCTCTGATTTTACTACGTACACATGTAAGGCCACTCTAACTACCTCTCCTTTTTTCCTTTCTGTACAATGCCATAATGCCTCAATAAAAGAAAGATTGACAACAAAAAACAAAAAAACAGTAAGTGTCACAACTCTGTACGTACAATATAATGCTGTCACGATTCGGGGAACCAAACACGCCAACACACACACACACACACAAAGTGCCGTACCGGACCTTAGAGTGGCCGGGCTAAGCACACAAAGAATAGTCAGGAACAAGCCGAGTAAGGGGAACCAGAAGACAGAATAACGTGAAACAAGCCAAGGTCAAAGGGTAGGAGAAAGTCACAGAGTCGGATAACAAGCCAGAGAGTACGTAACCAGAAGCACAAGTTCAGAATCAATACTAACAAGCAAAGACCACAACAGGGCAAGGAGGAACAGGAAAGGTAAGTATTTAAACCATCAGGTTAATTCTGATTGGATGATTTCCAATCAGAATTAACAATCACACGTGGGAGATATTTAGACCTCCCACTGTGATTGTGGCACTTTGCCTTTAACGCCGGGTCAGGTGACTGAACCCGGCGTGTATAACCCTGGGCGGTCTCCCAGCGTGCAGCGTCATGCATGCTGCCGCTGGGGGACGTGGAGGGAACGGCGGGCGGCATCCGAGGCTGGAAGGATGCCGCTCGCCGTACCCACGAGGCGGAGGGGACCGCGGACGGCTGGAGGGTGAGTACTGCGAGCGGAGTGCAGCCTCCCCTCGCAGCCGCCCGCGGGAGCCTGACATTACCCCCCCCTCGAAGACCACCCAGGGGGTGGGAAGCGGAAGGCTTCAAAGGAAAGCGGGCATGAAAGGAGCGGACCAAAGAGGGAGCGTGCACATCGGAGCTTGAAACCCAGGACCGCTCCTCAGGGCCGTACCCCTTCCAGTCCACCAAATATTGCAGCCGACCCCTAGAAACACGAGAGTCGAGAAGGGCAGCCACCTCGTACACGTCGTCAGAGACAGCTCGAGGGGAAACGGGCCGCCCGAGGGGACGAGAGAACCGGTTACACAGCAAGGGTTTCAAAAGCGAGACTTATTGCGTGTTCGGGACACGCATGGAAGGAGGCAAATCAAGGGAGTAGGAAACGGGATTAACCCTACGTAACACCTTGAAGGGACCAAGAAACCTGGGGGCAAATTTCATCGAGGGAACCTTGAGACGGAGGTTCCGGGAGGACAACCATACCCTATCACCCGGAACATAAGAAGGGGCCGCAACCCTACGGCGATCAGCAAACTTTTTCTGAGCAGCCGCTGAACGAGACAGCGCAACATGGACTTGATCCCATGTCTTCCGCAAAGAGGCGAGGTGCTGGTCCAAGGCGGGCATTCCCTTGTCGGAGAACGCACCGGGAAGGACAGAAGGACGAAACCCATAAGCAACCTCAAAAGGACTTAAGCCAGTAGACGAATGAGACACCGTATTCCTGGCAAATTCAGCCCACGGAAGAAGGCGAGACCAGTCATCCTGGTGCGCATTAGTGAAGCAGCGCAAATACAATTCCACAGACTGATTAGCACGTTCGGCCGCACCATTAGATTGCGGGTGATAGGAGGAAGAAAACGACAAGGATACCCCCATCTCAGCACAAAAGCCCCTCCAGAACCGAGAGACAAATTGAGGGCCCCTGTCAGATACGATATCCTGGGGTACCCCATGCAATCGGAACACTTCTTTGGCAAATACCTGAGCTAACTGAACCGCAGAAGGCAGTTTCTTAAGCGGAATGAAGTGCGCCATTTTAGAGAACCTATCCGTCACAGTCAGTATCACCGTCTGACCATCAGAAAGAGGCAGGTCTACAATGAAATCCATGGATAAGTGGGTCCATGGTTTCTTGGGTATAGATAGAGGCATCAGAAAACCCTGGGGTCTCATATTAGGGGACTTACATTGCGTGCAGACCTGACAAGCCTGAACAAAATCCACTACGTCTCGCTTGAGTGAAGGCCACCAGAACTGTTGAAGGAGGCCCTTGTAGGTTTTGGTAACCCCCGGATGACCAGCAGTTTTGGCTGTGTGAAATAAAGTTAACAACTTTTTTCTGTCATTAGTTTCAACGTATAGTTTACCAACCGGCGTCTCAGGGGGTGCCTGGGTTTGGTATGTCTTAATACTGGTAAGGAAAGGTGAAGAAACAACCAAACGGGTAGCAGCTATTATCTGAGACTCAGGTACAATAGGTTCAGGAGTCGGGTTAACAAATTCTACTGGTTCATGCTGCCGAGAGATGCGTCAGCCTTGGCATTACGGCAACCAGGTCTATAGGTGATAACATATTGGAAGCGTGAGAGAAATAGAGACCATCTAGCCTGCCGGGCAGATAACCTTCTAGCATCAGCAATATAGGATAGATTCTTATGATCTGTTATAACCATAATTTTGTGTCTAGAACCCTCTAATAAGTACCTCCATTCCTTGAAAGCTAACACAATAGCTAATAGTTCCCTATTCCCAACATCATAATTCTTCTCTGAATCAGACAACCTTTTAGAAAAATAACAACAGGGATGGAGGGGTTTGTCATAAGACAACCTCTGTGACAGTACGGCTCCCACACCTGACTCTGAGGCGTCTACTTCCATAATAAAGGGAAGAGAAGGATCAGGGTGGTGCAGCACTGGAGCAGAGGCAAATGCCTTCTTGAGGGTTTCGAAGGCCTTAAGGGCTTCAGGAGTCCAAACCCTAGGATGTAGACCTTTTTTTGTCAACTTCGTTATGGGAGATATGAGTGGTGAAAAGTTTTTATAAATTTCCTATAATAGTTGGCAAATCCTATAAAACGCTGGATAGCCTTTAGTCCTTGGGGAAGTGGCCAGGACATTATAGCTTCCAATTTAGCAGGATCCATACTGAAACCCTGTTCAGTAATGATATATCCTAGGAATTGCACAGAGGTCTGATCGAATAAACATTTTTCTAACTTACAGTAGAGTCCGTTCTGCAATAGCCTTTTGAGCACCATCCTAACATGGTTATGGTGTGACTTCAAATCAGGAGAATACACAAGTATGTCGTCAAGGTACACTACAGCACAGACATGCAATAGATCCCTAAGGACATCATTTATGAGGTCCTGAAACACGGCAGGAGCATTACACAATCCAAAAGGCATGACCAGATATTCGTAATGCCCACTGCGTGTGTTGAAGGCTGTCTTCCACTCGTCATTCTCCTTTATACGGACAAGGTTATAAGCCCCCCTGAGGTCTAATTTGGTGAAAAATTTAGAACCTTTAACACGATCAAACAACTCAGTGATGAGGGGGATAGGGTAGGCGTTTTTAACCGTTATATTGTTCAGACCCCTGTAGTCTATACATGGCCTCAAATCACCCTCCTTCTTAGCCACAAAAAAGAAACCAGCACCAGCAGGAGAGGAGGACCTTCTAATAAAACCTTTTCTTAGGGATTCCTGTATGTACTCCTCCATGATTTGGTTCTCTTTTTCAGAAAGAGGGTAGACCTTTCCCCTAGGAGGCATAGTGCCCGGTAAGAGGTTTATGGCACAATCATACTCACGATGTGGAGGTAGCTTATCTGCCTCCCTCTTCTCAAAAACCAAGGCAAGATCCGCATAAACAGAGGGCACAGAAACCGAGAGTGGTTTAGCCGTGGGTACGTTAAGTAAACAGACAGGATGTACATGAGCCACACAGTCTCGCTGACAAGATTCCCCCCAGGAAAGTATGTCTAAACAACCCCAATCAAGAACAGGGTTGTGTTTAACTAACCAGGGAAAACCTAGAACGATGGAGGCTGTTGGGGAGTTAATTATTTGGAAGGTTAACTTCTCTTTGTGCAAAACACCCACAGACATAACTATTTCCTGGGTTTCATGGGTCACCAGAGGTTTCTCCAGTGGTCTACCATCTATGGCCTCAACGGCCAAGGGTGTCTCCTTTCGAATCAAATTCAGGGCTGCGGTTTTGGCAAAGGTCTCATCCATAAGGTTGTCTGCCGCACCTGAATCGATCAGGGCTTTGGTTGTTATAGTGGTTTTTTTTATTGACCAAGAGAGAAACCGTAATAAACGGTCTAGAGATGGACATATGAGGGGACAAGGTCATAACACCCGAGGCCGACCCCTCTCTAGGCCTTAGGTGCTGCAGTTTCCCTGTAGTTTAGGGCAGGCTTTACAGTGATGCCCCCTCTTCCCACAATAAAGGCATAACCCCTCCCTTCTACGGTACGCTCTTTCGGCCTCAGTTAACCCTGTAGCACCCAACTGCATGGGTTCAGGGGATGGCTGCACAGGAGCGGGTAACGCTAGCAGGGAAGTACTGGGTAGAGCAGGTAACACCCGTGTATCCAACCGTCTTTGGCTACGCCTCTCTCTAATACGGTTATCTATAAGAATCACATAGTCTATAACATCATCTAGAAGAGCAGGTAATTCCCTGGATGCTATTTCATCCAGTATATAAGCGGCCAGACCCTCCTGAAAGGCTGTTACGAGGGCGTCATTATTCCAAACCACTTCAGCTGCTAGAGTACGAAATTCGATAGTGTAATCTGCTACAGACCTGTTACCCTGTCGGACCCTAAGCAGAGCCTTGCCAGCAGAAGCAACCCTACCGGGTTGATCAAACGTGCGTCTGAAAGCTGTCAGAAAATCAGCAAAGGACATAGGAGACGTATTTTCCCAAATGGGGTTGGCCCATGCTAAAGCTCTCCCGGACAAGTGGTTTATCAAAAAGGCAATTTTAGATCTGTCAGTGGGATAGGAGCGTGGATTCATCACCAAATGGATGTCGATTTGGTTGAGGAAACCACGACACAATGCTGGGTCACCACTGTAGCGCTGTGGCGGCGTCATGTGAACTACATGAGCGGGAACAGGTACTGGAGTGGGAATGGGTTCGGGCACAGCAGCAGCAGCCTCCTGAACGGCTGGTTGCAAGTGTGCAGTACGAGCCAGAATGGTTTGTAAAGCTTGAGCAAACTGATCCATACGGTGGTCTAAGCCATCCATTCTAGCCTCTTGATTAACTAGAAGCTGTGGTATGTCAGCAGGTTCCATTATGGCCCTGTTGTAATGTCACGATTCGGGGAACCAAACACGCCAACACACACACACACACACAAAGTGCCGTACCGGACCTTAGAGTGGCCGGGCTAAGCACACAAAGAATAGTCAGGAACAAGCCGAGTAAGGGGAACCAGAAGACAGAATAACGTGAAACAAGCCGAGGTCAAAGGGTAGGAGAAAGTCACAGAGTCGGATAACAAGCCAGAGAGTACGTAACCAGAAGCACAAGTACAGAATCAATACTAACAAGCAAAGACCACAACAGGGCAAGGAGGAACAGGAAAGGTAAGTATTTAAACCCTCAGGTTAACTCTGATTGGATGATTTCCAATCAGAATTAACAATCACACGTGGGAGATATTTAGACCTCCCACTGTGATTCTGGCACTTTGCCTTTAACGCCGGGTCAGGTGACTGAACCCGGCGTGTATAACCCTGGGCGGTCTCCCAGCGTGCAGCGTCATGCATGCTGCCGCTGGGGGACGTGGAGGGAACGGCGGGCGGCATCCGAGGCTGGAAGGATGCCGCTCGCCGTACCCACGAGGTGGAGGGGACCGCGGACGGCTGGAGGGTGAGTACTGCGAGCGGAGTGCAGCCTCCCCTCGCAGCCGTCCGCGGGAGCCTGACAAATGCAGCCAAGACACTAGTGTTCAGTCACCTCAACAAAAACAATAACCATAAAAAAACACAAAAAAATGACTTTTAATAAATCCCATTTCCAATAGTCCAATAGTCCATTTTAAAAAAAGAAAAGAAAACGAGAAAAATGCATTTTAATTAAAGGATCACTATATTGTCAGGAAAACAAACTCTTTGGGGGACCCTCACCCTCAGGTGGTTAAAACCCCTTCAGCCACTTACCTTAATCCAGCGCTGGGCTCCCTCGGCGCTGGTGACCTCTCCTCCCCCGCCGACGTCAGCTCCCGAGTGCGCGCATTCAAGCAGTCCATAGGAAAGCATTTCTCAATGCTTTCCTATGGACGTTCTGCACTCTGAATGCTGTCAGGAAGACAGCCACTAGAGGTTGGATTAACCCTGCTATGTAAACATAGCAGTTTCTCTGAAACTGCTATGTTTACATGTGAATGGTTAAAACCTGGGGGACCTGGCACCCAGACAACTTCATTGAGCTGAAGTGGTCTGGGTGACTATAGTGTCCCTTTAATTATAATAATAGTTAAAAGCCTTGAAAATGCGTGATGGTACTCAAACAAATGTTAACACTCTCATAAAACAGAGCCAATAAAGTATTCACTCTGGGACCTATAAAGGCATGTCAGATTTGGAACTTTACATGCTTCAAATAACACAGAGTAATTTACAACAACAGCTCATCTAACTGTTACAATACAAACCCAAAGTACAAGTTCTAATGCTTAAATTAATATAAAACATTTAGCAAATGGGATTAGACTTTGTAGTAACTTGCAGTAGACATAATTTGCCGTGAATAACATAGCTGCACCCAAAAGTAAAATAAAGTAAGATATGTGAAAACAAAAAGGAACAGGGAGGATCTAATAGTGTACAAAAGAGAGCAAACTTGGGCTCATGGATAGGTGAGTGCATATACTTTTGTGTAATTAACTATTGGATACTTACTTTACCACAGACCACCTTTATCTTGTTATTGTTTTTTACATACCTTGAGTACTCATACCACGAGGAAGGAACCCATTTCCACCATCCATAAGTGGGGATCATAGCATTCATTCCTATTCAATAGAGCTGATTGGTAGCTCCGTACATTGTAAGTGCTTAAACAATACTACACTATTGGATCCTCTATCTTCCTTTTTGTTTCCACATATTTTACCTGTTACTCCGAGGTGCAAATATCACAAGTTACTACTTTCTGTTGCCAAGAAGACAGACTCTTGGTTTGGATGACCATACTGCCCATTTCCATTCTCTCTAGCTCTTTTACCGTCTATTTCGTTCTTCTTTGTTTTTTTTTTACTTGATTATTTTGAGCTATTCGTCAACATGTCTGTTTTTGCCTAAAGAAACCAATGTGCCATAGCAAATAAGAAAACAAATACAACCATTGAGGTTAAAGAGTTTTAGAGGGATTTATTTTCTCATCCAGAAAAATGAACGAGTAAAAAGATTTAACTAAAGTTGAAGATTTAGGATAACTAATCTGTAAAAATATGTCAAAGAAAAAAATGACCCCCAGAAGTTTGAGGTTCTCTAAAATGTCTACCACCTACTGTGATCATACAGACTTCAGGGAGGAGTGGCATGACCAACTTGAATACAGCACATTTGGTTTGATGAAAATCAAAATAAATTAAAAAAAAGCCAACATCTGGCTATCTTTGATACAGAGATTAATCAACTCAGATCGGTAACTTCTATTTAAAGATACTCATGAGTGTAAGCGAAACGCTGCCCTTAATACAAAGTAAAACTGAGAAAAGTGAAATAGAAAATGAAAAATACATAAGAGATAAACAGAATTATGTTAAAAAGAAGTTACTACAGATATGAAACAAAGAGGAAGAACCGTCACAAGACATTACCGTACAGAATCACATCCAACACACAAATAATTCCCGTTAAAGGGACACTCCAGGCACCCAGACCACTTCTGCCCATTGGAGGGGTCTGGGTGCCAACTCCCACTACCCTTAACCATGCAAGTGGAATTATTTTCATAAACTGCAATATTTACCTTGCATTGTTAACTCCTCCTCTAGTGGTTGTCTAGTAGACAGCCACTAGAGGGCACTTCCTGGTCTATAGCACAGGTTTTGTGTGCTATAGCGTTGCTGGACGTCCTCACGACGTTGGCGGGGGAGGAGCGTGGGCGGACCCTGAACGAGCGTCGAGGGACATTGGCGCTGGATAAAGGTAAGTCACTGAAGGGGTTTTAACCCCTTCAGCAACTTGGGATGGGGGGTGGGATGGAGAGGGGACCTGCAGTGCCAGGAAAACACATTGTTTTCCTGGCACTCTAGTGTCCCTTTAAATAAACATGAAAACTCACACAAATATATATTAAAGTCCCCAATCAGTGGCGCCCTGCCCGGGGTTTGCATATCTCTATAAACATCTCTAAACAGAAGCCTCTTACAGAATCGGGCAGCGAGTCGCTGATTGGCTGAGAGCCAAAGAGACAGCTGAATCTCTCAGTCAATCAGTGAATCCCCATTCATAAAACTGGCTGAAAAAGAAACTTACCTTTTTCAAGCCAGTTTCATGAATGGGACTCACTGGATTAGCTGACCGCTCTCATCCAATCAGCAGCATCTCTGCCCGATTCGGCAAGTGGCTTCTAAGTTTATTTATGGAACTTGTTGGCGCTTTACAAATAATAATAATAATCAAATTTCATATACATACCGATGGTGGTAGTAGAGATTGATATAGTTTTTAATGGAGTTGGTTTGGGAGTTGAAATACTTAATATTGTAGTATCCAACGTGGTTATTATAGCTGGAGCCGTGGTATCTAACGTGGTTATTATCTCTGAAGCCGTGGTATCAGTGGTTATTATAGGTGGAGCCGTGGTATCCAATGTGGTTATTATAGCTGGAGCCGTGGTATCCAACGTGGTTATTATAGCTGGAGCCGTAGTATCCAACGTGGTTATTATAGCTGGAGCCGTGGTATCCAATGTGGTTATTAAAGCTGGAGCCGTGGTATCCAACGTGGTTATTATAGCTGGAGCCGTGGTATCTAACGTGGTTATTATAGCTGGAGCAGTGGTATCTAACGTGGTTATTATAGCTGAAGCCGTAGTATCGGTGGTTATTATAGCTGGAGCAGAGGTATCTAACGTGGTTATTATAGCTGGAGCCGTGGTATCTAATGTGGTTATTATAGCTGAAGCCGTAGTATCAGTGGTTATTATAGGTGGAGCCGTAGTATCTAATGTTGTCAGAATATTTGGAGCTGTAGTATCCAACGTGGTTAGTATTTCTGGAGTTGTGGTATCTAATGTGGTTTCCATTGATAGTAGTTTTAGGCTTCCTGTAGTACTAAGGCTGGTTTCCGATGCAGTGACCAGTTCTGTTGTAAATGGATCAATTAAACCTGTATAAAAAAGAAGCCGATTATTACTTGGAAAGCATTGACATTTTTCCCAAAGATAATGCTGTCCACATGAAACATGGGTCTATTTCATGTATGTACGTAGTGGGCATTGGATAGCATTCCCTTCATCCCCCATAAAACCATAACTTACCCCTTCAAATAACGACAGACAATTTCTTGGAGAAAACAGGCCACAGCATTTATTAACACAACCAAATACTGTATGACTCCTTTAACATATAACGAAATAATAAATATCATAAATTAACAAACAATTTGCATATAGTCATACAGGAACCAAAGAAACCGTCCTTGCCAATCTAACTTCCCCAAGGCTCTCACCTCCCCCCCTCGGCATAATAAAAACATCTTCCTTTTCTGGGCTCCCCACCAACTCGGTGGGGCCCAACCATAACGCTCCCCACTGGTCGACTTACAACCCAGTGGGGACACGTCCAACCTGGTATCTTCTCCAGGTTCACCATAAGAGACAGGGGAGGGATGAGACCCGGCCATTATCCCCCTTTTTCATCTAATCTACCAAACCATCTGTGACGAGAGCAATCTCGCCACATTGCATTGGAGAAGCCTGGTTGCTCGCCTGTTGCCTTTGGATTATGGCCCCATGTTAAAAGGCTTGATTTTCCCCTGCAAAGACAAGAAAGCCGGGTCATTTGGTGCTTGCCCTGTTTGAGCAGTGATACCCCAGATAGCTATGCCATGGAGCCCATTCGTATAATGAAAGACTATGGGAAAGACTTTGGCTCCATGGCAATTGAACTGTATGTGTGTGCTCTGAGCGCCATTCAGTAATAATGTGCGCTCAGACCTAAGCTATCTGGGCATATGTTGCATGTCTGTATTTTATGTCATAAATGTAACCTTGTGTATTTTATTGTATTTACTGTCTTTTTGCTGCCATGTGTTCAATGGAGTTTTGCCTCTGTCTTTGGAGATAATTGGATTACTTCTAATTATCTCCAGGATAGAAGACTCTGTGGAACTGGTTTTGGGCAGAAAAGCCATGCTTCCTGTGGTCACAAAGATCTATCTTTTGAACCACTGGACCAATTTGTATGATTTTGACGTATGTTTGTATTTGGAGTATGCTGATTCTGAAAATGTTTTATGTGAATGTGATGCATACTTTTAAAATTATGAATAATGTGGAAAAACTATTTCTCTGCCTGTGATAATTACATTACCCATTGTGTAAGATAATTGAATCACATGCAGAGGGGAGGAATTTGTGTGGGAGTGTCTGAGTGTATTGCAGGGCCGGACTGGCCCACCGGGATACCGGGAAATTTCCCGGTGGGCCGTCGGCACCCGGGGCAGGCCCTTTAAATACTGCAGCCGCCTGAGCGCTCTGTGAAGAGCGCTCAGGCGGCTGCAGCTTCTCCCCTGTAGCGTGGCCGAGCTGCACTCCGGTCCGCGGTGGCCGGCCGGCCGGAGTGATAGGAAGGTGCACACTGAGTGTGCACTTCTGTCAGTCCGGCGGTGACAAAACAGAAACCCTGTTCCCTGGAGATTTTGTTTCCTGCATAACCCAGCAGGGCAACGAAGTACGTGTACACCTTCCCATCACCCAGCCCGCCGCCAGCTGACGCAGTACGCCCAGCCACGCTACAGGGAAAGAAAGAAGAGAGAGAGTAGAAAGAGAGGAGGAAAAAGAGAATAAGAAGAGAGGGAATAAGAAAGAGGAATAAGAAGAGGGAGGAATAGAAGGGAGAAAAAAAGAGAGGGGGGAATAAGAAAGGAGAGAATAAGAAGAGAGGGGGAATAAAAAGAAAAAAAAGAGGGAAAAGAGAGGGAAAAAAAAGGAGGAGGAATAGAAGAGGGAAAAAAAGAGGGAGGGAATAAAAGATGAGAGGGAATAAGAAGAGTGGAGGCGGAATAAGAAGAAGGGAGATAAGAAAGGGAGGGGAATAAGAAGAGGGGAGGGAGGGGAATAAGAAGAGGGGAGGGAGGGGAATAAGAAGAGGGGAGGGAGGGGATAAGAAGAGGGGAGGGGGGGAATAAGAAGAAGGGGCAGCTCTATAGGACAGGGGCCAAGACAGGGAGCTCTTTCACACTACGCGCGCACACACACACAATGCACCCCTATACATACACAGAAACACAACATGCTTCCCTTACACACAGAGAAACACACAATGCATCCATTACACACACACACAATGCAACCCTTACACACAACCAGAAACACATAATACATCCCTTATACACAAATACACACTGCTTCCACTACACACAAACACACTGCATCACCTGCACAAACTGGTAACCCTAAACACTACATACCATAAGCACACATATTAGATCCTCTACAATAACACATAACACATCCCCTACACACTCCACTCCTGTGAGCGAACTCATGGGTTGGTGGAACTTATGAGTGGGCCTTATGGGCATACTCACCGTCAGGCCCTGGGGCCCAGACCTTGAGCTGTGTAAGGGGCCCCCAAAAAATTGAGCTGCTTCCAATTCTCCCAGAACATTGAATTTTGTGACCACAGTTGCAAACAGCCTCCAGAGATCCAGGCCCAGAGGAGGCGGGCTGAAAAGCTAGCCGGATAGGAGGCATGTGTAGGTGTGGTGGGTGTAGGTGTCACATGTGGGGGGGTGTCACTTAGGTTAGGGGTGGGGTGGGGTGGGGTTATATAAAAGGGCAGTCATTTTGTCCCTTACCTCAGCCATCTTAGAATAACGGCTGGTAACATCTTCTTCCTCCTTGCTGCCTGTTACCACTGCTTGTCTCACGGCCAGGGCATGGACATAGAAGCAATTTTGTCTGCTCTCAGGGCTGAGGCCCTTCAGGATGGAGGACGTCACCTGCAGTCACAGTTGGCGCGGCTGCAGGGTGCATCTGGGTCGGCTGCTCCCCCTCTCACCAGCCCCAGCGTCCAGCGCCGCCGTGCACGCCCCCCCACCCGGTATAGCCCCTCGCGGGAGGGTCGGGTGAGGGGCAGGAGCAGGAGCCCTGTGGCCGGGCCGCGCACCAGTTCCCACGTGGTCGCGGCCGCTGAGGTCTCTCCCACTCCCGGCACTTCCTCCCCGAGCGGGGCTCGGGGAGGCCGGCAGGGGGCCGCGCGCCGGTCGGATGCGGCCCACGCTGCCTCACTCTCATCTCCCCAGCCGGTCTCGCGGGCTTTGCGGAGGGCGGCCGCGAGACCGGCTTTCAGCAGGTTTCCAACGACGAGATCCTCACGGATGGCGGCTCCGGTGACCTCCGGTCGGGTGAGTAAGCCGCAGGTCGGCAGGGTTGTTTCCGGGGGGGGGGGAGTTCGGGAGGCCCTGTTACTGCAGCGGGATCACCTCACCCTCACAGCAGCTCCCCTCCTGCTTTGCCCTTCTTCCCTGCCTCCCCTGGGCCTGCTCCTGCCACCAATCCTAGTGCCCTTCAACCCACGGTGGGTCCCTCTGTGGCTGGCACTTCTCCCCTGTCCTCTGTCCATGCCCCATCACCCCTCCCTTCCCCCTCACCTGCCCCCTTGGTGTCTGCCCCCCTTTCTGGCACGCCTGGACCTGCCCTAGGCCCATTGTCTGCCCCATCAGCAGGCCCTCTCAGGGTGGGGGCCCATCAAGTTTTACCTGCCCCCCCTCCTCATCATCCTGGGCCCTCTATTGGTACCCTCCATTCCACCCTTCCCGGCCCTATGCCTGTTGGGGTGCCATCCGCCTCTCCAAGTACTTTTACGGCAGGTGTGGGAGGGCTGGGTTCCTTTTCACCTTTGCTTTCTTCACAGGTGGCCCCTGGTCAGGTGCGTTTCTCGGACGCTGGCGCTGGTGCTGTCCCTTCTGCAGTGACAACTCCCGTGGGTCCACTGCAACCTGGGGACCAGGTTATGGGGTCGCCGCAGCTGCCGTCACATTCCATTGTCGCTGGTGAGTACGCAGCTTTATCCGGGGGTGCTTTAAGGGGTCTTGGTGCAGGGGTCCTACCTGAGTGGGATGCTTTAATAAAAACCATGAGACAATTCTTACAGTCGTTGGAGAAGGCTCATCGCCCTGGGCTCCAGCCCCCTTTAGCCCTCGATGATCAGCTGAGGTCGGGTTGGGCAGCTGCTGGTGCTTCTGAACTTTCAGGGGTGGTCGCAGGCCCCTCTGCTGCACCTGCAGGGCTCAGTGGCCCTGTTGTGCCAGTTCCTCCAGTGGCGGAACTTGAGCCATCCTGCGGCTTCGGGGTCAGGGGTCGCCCCCGCTGCGCATGGGGCCGCTTACATGTGCTGGTCAGGCCCTCTAGGTCTCCATTTGACCCCGGAATTGCGCACCAAGATAGAGAAAGGGGAATTCGTTGAAATTTTTTCCTTGCTCCCTATGGAGGATCTGCCTCGGGTTGATCCTACGGCAAAAGACTCTGAAAAGGAGAAGGAGAAGTTTAGGTATCGGAAGATACCAAAAACTTTTGGTAATTGGATTAGGGCCTTTTCGATCCTGGCGAGTGTGATAGGTGAGAAGTCCCCTAATAAATGCTCATCCCTCTTTTGCTACCAGGATACGATATGGAACGCGTGCCGGACCTATGGCGGGTTAGGCTGGTGGCGCTATGATGAGCAGTTCCGCCAACGCATAGCGGTCCGCCCATCGTTGAGTTGGGACCAGATGGACATTGGCTTGTGGTTGGCCATCATGACCCGCCCGGCGTCGCATCAAGGGGGCCTCTCGTCCTTTCTTGGGGGGGCCGGCGCAGGGTCCTCGACCGCTGCGTCGGCCAATCAACGACGAACGGGTTGTTGCTGGCAGTACAACGATGGGCAATGTAAATTCGGCGCAGGCTGTCGTTTCAAGCACGAATGTTCTGGGTGTGGCGGATCGCACCCCGCCTCAAAATGCTTTAAGCGGGGTAGGCCTGGCGACAAGGGTGACGCCATGGGTTCAAAAGGCGAGGACGCCGGTGGACGTAGGCGCGATGCAACCGTGGTTAAAACGTTATAAAAACAAAAAGGCGGCCACCTTACTCCTGGAAGGTTTTATGTTTGGCTTTTGGATTCCCCACCAACCT